GCAAATGGAGGGAAATGAAGGGAAAATAAGATTTTTTGGGTCGTTTGAATGGCAAAATTCTCATTAGAAATCCGGTTCAGTAATGTCGTCCAAAATTCGTATATTCTAGTCATCGGCTATTTGGCCTGTCATGCAAGCTCAGTCGGTTCGAGCACTGAACTCGGCAGCAACAAAATGTCTCGAATGTCTTGAAATCCCAGAGGGGCGTAGCTCGTCGTTAGGCTTCCAAGCTATGGTGTAATTGCGGAAATCAGCTCAGCACCGTAAGCGACATAAAAAGTATGATTGCACATTAGAGGGCCAGTCCATAGGGTTACAAGTTTGTTTTTCCCTCTTGAATATAGAATGAAATATATCATGCTCTGTCAGTTCCATTTTTGTTGAATAAATCTAAACAGCAGTTTAAATCTTCATGTGTAATAGAGTAACATTAGGTTTAAAATATTTATCAAAACTTGTCCTTTCAGTAGATATTTGACCTACACAAATAAACTTACTGAATCTTATCCATTTAAATCGAGCCGGCTATGTTTGACAATCGATCACCAATGCCGAATTTCTGCACGGAGCAGCGTACAAGAATTTCAGAACTCCGATAACATGAATGTAACGCATGTAACTAGTACCAGGTGTGAGGCGGCTTTGATTCCGTGTCAAAGTTCAAAATGGACAATATTAATGACCATCGTGATTGACCGTTATCGCACGAATTCTAATTCTAACGTTCGGCCTTGAACGAAGTTCAAAGACATTGGTCGTCTTGAAACTGACCTATTTGTCGAAATTGTTAGTGTCTGTGATGACCTGCTTCCGCTGCTCCGAGAGCTAAAGGTTATTGTTTAAAAGGTTTATTTCGTTAACTTCAGTCGAAGTCATTTTATTTTAAGAAACATGCATTATATTGACAAGGTCTGCGATCAATGGCCCCGAGAGGAGTCAAGTTTTGACGATTTATTCGACGGTAAGTTTTGTTGCATAATTACTTCGTTTAATTGAAACAGCTCGCTTAGCATGATGATTCATAATGTGCTTCTACACGCTGACATTATTTGGGACTAATTATTAATTAACGCTTCTAAAGCTAGAGCATTCTCCCACGTCATCCGGAACAATGGAAAAACCCGTCGTCCGATGAGTCACTCCCCTTGACTGTTTTCAAATGCTTTGACTCCTTCATC